GGGTATTTCTTTATAGCAATGGGAGTACAGGAACTACTACAAGGTCCCTTTCCATCAATAGTAAATATACTCAAGTTTCTTTAATATTAGAAAAGATTAAATCCATAAATCAGATTTAATACTCAGCTGTATGCAAAAAATCTGTACTTATCTTCCCTCTTACCCATCCTTCACAAACAAATTTCCTTAAAAGATATACAAAACTTGTTACTTACACTTTCTCCTTATTCCAGTGCAATCTTACTTCTTCCCCACATTCTTCTCCCAAATTTAAGTTTACACAGATTTTCAGTGACAAGTCCCTTACTGGACGCTCCGAATCTGAAAATACTTTCATCAGCATTTGCTATGTAATGGTATTCCTTAGGTTTTGATTCTAAACTTTCCTTAATATTCTGCCATGTTCTCCACCATCATCTCATCCACTTTCACATCTTCAAAAATAATCTATGTAATATGATTTATAAATCAGTGCTTTCTGAGTAGAATTTGTTCTTGAGATTTTCCCACATCCAACTCATAATTAACATAAACATTTTAAATCTCCTCTGGGGATATTTTGAAATAAATCTTATCAAAACTAAATGTTGATTTCCCCATCCAGACAAGTAAGCATTGGATGCGTACATACCATTTTGTAACCCAATACCTAGCATCGAATCTGACATATAATTTTAAATTAAAAGCTATTTGTTGTAAACTTTTATTTTACTTCACAATCTAACATTTTACTTATCAAATGTCTGTACTTGAAGTTACACAATAACCTAAAGCATTAGTTTCAGTTTTAAGTTACTATAGCCAATTGTAGAAAGTATACTCTGAATGATTTTGAAAAAAAACTTGAAGACATTTGGTATATATGTGTTTTTTAGCTGTTGCTTTAAGAAAGTCTACAGGATACAATCTAATCTATAGTTATAAATATTAACAGAAATATAGTTTAAAGTAAACATTTCGTTGTCCATGTATGTTGCTTCATTGATTTTGTTTTCAAGAGAAATGTTTTAATTCAAATATTTTATACATAATATTTTATTCTGCCATTTTTCAATATAAACTGGATTATAGACTAATTTTAATATTTTATTATTAAGGTTTAAATTATATATAAACTATGGTATCCCTCTGATACATATGGTTGACTAAAATAGGTCATATTAAACTTTTCTAAAGGTATCAAAATATGGAAGCATAGAGGATCTCACCTTAGCATTTTGTCAAATCATTTAAAAAAGAAAAAATGCCTAGTGATGCAATTCTAATAAATAACAAGCCAAGTCTACTAATTGCACACTCTTAAAGGGACAAATAAATGCAACATTTTAAACTAAAATTATTATATCAGTAATATTTGAACCTGTGCTTCCTCTGGTTCTAAACATCAGTTTTTTCTAGCTTTTGTGTCATTGTTTTTATACAAATTTTGAGAAAATACTTGTATTTCTGTTCTAACATGCAAATTGATAAAATATACATTATATCAAGTGACTTAAACAGATTTTCTATGAAAATATTGTAATACATTTTCCTATATTTTCATTATATGTGACAGTTATCATCAGAAAAGTATTTTGACTGAATTTAAGAAGAAGTTCAATTTAAAAGTATCAAGATAATTAAGATAACTATTTGATGTCTAATTTTATACCTTTCCACAAAGTTGATATCCACGGTTACACATGTATGTTTATAATAGATTAGGTTTTCTTACATAACTTCTTACAGGAGAGTTGTATAAAGTATGCCCTCTAAGCTTTTTTCAATGACTTGTATATAGCAGTTTCTTTGGAAGCCACTAGTAATCGCTTCTTTTTTTGCCTGGAATTCTGACAGTATTTAATATTAGCAATTTTCAGGCAATATAGTAGTTAACCAATTAAGAAAATTATTTTAAATATCTTTCAAAACAAATCTATTGTAGGCTTAGTTGTATTCTAATTAGGACTATTTATTATGCTTTACTATTTGAATTAGATAACTAAAATGTTGGGTACATTTTTGGTTGGACACTTCACTTAAACAAAAGTGAAATTGAATATGAAAGAATTAGAAAAGTGGGTCTAGATATCACTATAAATTTTTTTTATCAACATATATTTGTAAATGTGTTAGTAAGTAATTTGATTTGTTGTTACTATACATTTCTTTTTGAAACAGCATCTTTCTGTTATCCGTACTGAAGTGCAGTGGCATAAACACAGCTCACAGCAGCCTCGATCTCCTGAGCTCAAGTGATCCTGCTGCCTCAGCCTCCCAAATAGTTAAGACCACGGGTGTGCATCACTATATCATCATACTCAGCTAACTTTTTTTCTTTTTTTGTAGAGATGGGTCTCACTCTGTTGCCCAGGCTGGTTTTCAAACACCTGGACTCAAGCAATTCTCCTGCCTCAGCCTCCCAAAGTGTTGGGATTGCACCACATCCAGTCCTATACCTTTGAAAGAGAAATTAACTCTACATTTTGTTCCAATGCCTATTCATGTAACCAATATACATTTTCAAAGAGAATATCAAACAAGCAAATAAACACAAAGGAAAGCAAACTGTAACAAAATCAATGAAAAACCACCTCCACCAAAAAATCTTTTCAGTATATCCACCAACATTATTCTCTACCTCCTAACACAAACACACAGAAATGCTAGATTACAACATAAACAATGATTAATTCAGGAGGACAATAAAAGAAATAAGTTACTGCCTTACAGAAATACATACAATTCAAGTATAAAGTGCATTGTTTAGTAATTGATTAAAAATTGATCAGAGGCCGGGTGTGGTGGCTCACACCTGTAATCCCAGCACTTTGGGAGGCCGTGGCGGGTGGATCATAAGGTCAAGAGATCGAGACCATCCTGGTCAACATGGTGAAACCCCGTCTCTACTAAAAATACAAAAAATCAGCGGGGCACGGTGGCGCGTGCCTGTAATCCCAGCTACTCAGGAGGCTGAGACAGGAGAATTGCCTGAACCCAGGAGGCGGAGGTTGTGGTGCGCCGAGATCGCACCATTGCACTCCAGCCTGGGTAACAAGAGCCAAACTCCTTCTCAAAAAAAAAAAAAAAAAAAAATTGATCAGAAGTTGCTTAGCACATAGAAGTTATATGTGAATGTTGAACAACTGTTCAAAACCTCCACAGTGCCATTCAAACTTTCCTTATTTTATTAACTTTAATTTTTGAGAAAATGATCTTATATTTTAATATTTTTGTCTATTTCTCTCTTTCTCTCTCTCTCTCTCTCTCTCTCTCTCTCTCTCTCTCTCAAAAGACACACACGTGTATATGTGTACGGGAAAGGAACAAATATATACACAGGATAAAACTGTAGATTTGCTATTGTATAATTTAATTAGTAAAAGGGAGGAATCTATATATCCAATTGATAGATATATAAAACACCTAATAGATTCTACAATCAACCAAGTTGATACTCTGTCATCACTACTGTTAAGAAAAGCTGTGTAAATACAGTAACACATATCTTAAAATAGGATCTTTACCAAAATCATTTCATATAATTATAAAATATATTGGCAGTTTCATATAAATAACCTAGTTACCTAGATACTGTCTTAAGTTCCCAAATCTGAAAGTTTTGGGATATTGAGAAATATAGACATCATCTTTGTAACTAGCTGGACATAAATGCAAATACATTATATGGGCATGTATATTTGTGTCAGTGTTATATTTAATGGTGTAACTAGCTAGACATAAATACAAATACATCATATGGGCATGTATATTCATCTCAGTGTCATATTTAACGGTATTTGAATATTTCATTCTTCTTAATTTTTCACAAATATATTGTAAGATATTATCTAAGGAAAGTTAATAATTTTGAACTCTTTTTCCTTGTATTCCAACTTCACATTCTCTACCTCAGTCTTAAGATATATATAAATATTTATTGTTAAAATTTATAGGTTGAGACTGGGCATGGAGGCTCACACCTGTAATCCCAGCACTTTGGGAGGCCAAGGTGGGTGGATCACTTGAGGTCAGGAGTTCAAGAACCAGCCCAGCCAACATGGTGAAACCCCATCTATACTAAAAATACAAAAATTAGCCAGGTGTGGTGGTGCACACCTGCAATCCCAGCTACTTGAGAGGCTGAGCCGGGAGAATCACTTAAACCTGAGAGGTGGAGGTTGCAGTGAGCCGAGATCGTGACACTGCACTCCAGCCTGGGTAACAGAGCAAGACTCCATCTCAAAAGAAAAAAAGTATAGATTGAATACATTCTTTCTTATTCTACATTTTCTATGTATATTTTAAAAACATGAGTTCCCTTCTAATAGTTCTCAAAATTAAGGTGTAATACACAGTAATAAATGGATACAATTATAACACAGAATTATCTATAGACTTAATATTTTTTAAATGTCAGTACTCACTAAGGTAAGTTTGCCATTTCACTGCATACTTAGCATTATCTCCAGATGACCCTTTAAAAGATACTGTAAATTATATTTTGGTGGAATCTTTTAAAATTATCCTCTAAAAAAAAAACTTCCAATGTAAATGATCTCTTTAAATGCCCTTTGGCAATTCTGATAATTTTCATTTATTTTTCTAGGATTTTAAATTATCTGATCTAGTTTAACAGATCCTTGCTTTCCACCAATAGTGGGATCTTTTTGAGTCAGTAACTTCAAAACTTTAAATTGCTTAGCATGTTTTTCAATTATTAGTTTATCTGTTCTAATCAATAATTACATCTTTCACTTCTTAAATAATTTGTATTATGCTTTTCAAATTTAATTTGTACTCTCTATGCTTCTGGTTTTAATTGATAATCTTCTGATTTAGAAACATAATATTTGTTTACTTTTTTTTCTTAGAGCAATCTTCTGTTGAATGCCAAGAAAAAACTCTATAAAGGAAAATGTAACACAGGCTGTTAATAAGTAATCTCTATCCCCATTTTTGGTATTTTGCAATATTTTTTAAAAATATGACCTCAGTGATCAAACATGTGCTTGGAATTTCTGAAACATTTTGTGATTTAGCGAAGATAAAACACACATACTCTGTTTTCCTTCACAATTTCTGGCTTTTAATATTGTAAGTATGTTTTAATATCTTCTAAAATTTATAAAAATAAAAGATATTATGGGGGGTAAAATGATGTACAGGTGGCCCTTAAACTCAATATCTATAATCTTATGGCAGCTGAAAATAATATGCTGAAATTAACAGAGAATATAATTTATTATGATGTAAGATGGTTTTGTATACTATGTAGTTTAAAAAAATGGTGAAAAGAAGAGCTAAGTAAAACCTGTTGACTAATCTTCAAAATGTGGAAGTTATTTTCACTTACTGAAAAGAGAGGAAACATATTCCAAGTATGTGAAAAAACACACATGAACCATACATTACACTTGAAAGATTGCCAAAAGAGAGACTTTATTTTAGCAGATATTCTACTCCAGTCAATAACAGAAGAAAAAGTTGTGTAAGTAGAGTGAGACTGGGTTATAGAGGAAAGAACTTGATATTCAGATGGAAAAGTTAAATGTGCTTTTGCAAGAATTAGAAAATTATTTAAATAAGTTAATTCTGACATTATTTGTTAGGTTGTCTAAATGGCAAAAAGCTGGATTTTCCATGTATTGCAATTGTCTATGTCACTGAGTTCTTGCCTTGGAAAAGCAGCTATAAATAGGTAGATAAAATAAATGTAAACACACAATGCAATTTAAAAATGTGTGTTTGTGTGTCTATGTTTGTGAGTGTGTGTGTGCCCATGCTTTCATAGATGTATCACCTGGTTTCTAATTGAATGAAATAATTAGAAAAGGGATAAGAAAGAAGAGTAGTTTCTACATTTAGCACCAGGTGACTGAAAGTATACTCAGATCTAGGAGAGAAATAAAGGAGTTTTTAATAATAGCTCCTATCTTGGAAGAGAGGATTGCAAGTCAGTATAGTTTTAGACTGATTTTGAACTGCTACAATGTATTTATGAATCACTCCTTCCATAAAGATGCTTAAAATTAATTTTTTCCAAATACATTTTATTATGAACCCATCTTTCCTGGATTGTCTCTTTTCAGCTGAGCTTCTTCCATGCTCTGCTAGACCATTTCTTGAATCACAGTGAAGAGTCGAAGAATTTCATCACTTTCAAGCAGATGTCTACCTTGGATTCAGCCAATGGGATTCAGTAAAGAGAGATTTAGAAGTCAGAAGAAAAACAAGACTTCCAGTACAGCTGCAGCAAGATGCACAGGCATTTGGCAGACATGACGTTGGCAGCAGCATCCAAGTGAGTTCCTGTGAATCACTTGCTTTGAGAATTCAGGCAACTAGTGGCATTGCAGGTGGCTTTCTCACATTCTTGAATTTTTAAATCTCTCAGACTAGTAACAATTTCTTTGACATACACAAACGCAACTTTTCAGGAGAGATAAAAGCATCCAATTATCTGCCTTTATTTTTCCTACTCAAAATAAATGCTTAAAATACTTTAGGTTTTGACTTTGTTTTTGTTTTTTATTTTACAAAAGCCTGAGTAACAGATCATTATTTTAAATTTTTTATTTTATTATGCTAAGCACACAACGTGACCTCCGCCTTCTTAACAAATTTTAGTGTACAATACATTTGTCAACTATAGGTACAATGTTATAAGGCAGATTGCTAGAGCTGAATCATCTTGATTAGTTGAAACTTTATGTTTGTTGATTAGCAACTCCCCATTTTTTTCTCCACCTAGCCTCTGCCAGCCAACATTCCATCCTTTGATTCTAAGATTTTGACTAATTTTAAAATTTTCTGTAAATTAAATCACTCAGTATTTGTTCTTCTGTGACTGGATTATCTCACTTGAAATAATCTCTTCCCGCTTCATGTTGTCACATAATGCCAAATTTCATTTTTTGTATCACTCAATAATATTCCATTGTGTGTATATATCATATTGTCTTTATGTGCTCATCTGTTAATAGACATTTAGGTTGTTTCCACATCTTATCTCTTGTGAATAGCACCACAATGAATATAGAAGTATTAATATATCTTCAAGATTCAGAGGCCAGTTTTTTAGATATATATCCATAAGTGGGATTGCTGGATCATATGATATTTCTACTTTCAATTTTTTAGCAGCTTCCACAGTGTTTTTTATAGTGGCTCATCATGTTATATTCACACTAACAGTGCACAAGTGTTCCTATTTCTCCACATGCTGTCCAATACTTGTATTTTTCAATTTGCTAATAGCTATCCTAACAAATGTGAAGTGACATCTAACTGTGGTTTTGATTTGCATTTCCCTGATGACTGGTAAGGTTAGCATCTTTTTATATACTGGTCGGCCATTTGTATGTTTTCTTTAGAAAAATATCTATTCAAGTCCTCAGCCCATTTTTAAATTGGATTATTAGGGCTTTTGGTTTATCTTGTTTTGTTATGTATATTTTATTTCTGTCGAGTTGTGGGAGTTCATTGTATATTTTGGAAATCAACCCTTTATAAGATGTGTGGTTTGCAAATATTTTCTCTCAATTTGTAGGTTGCTTTTTCATTCTGTTTTTAACTTTACCATGCAGAACCTTTTTTTGTTTTGCACAATTACACTCATCTATTGATGTCTTAGTTGCCTGCACATTTTGTACCATATTTATGAATTCAAACTTAATGAAGAAGGTGAAAGATTTGTACACTATAAACTACAAAACATGAATGAAAATGTTAGATAAGACACAAATGAATGAAAAGACATCCCATATTCATGGATTGGAAGTCTTAATATTGTTTAAATGTCCATACTATCATAACGGTATACAGATTCAATGTAACACCTAATAATATTCCAATGGCATTTTTTAATAGAAATAGAAAAAACTACTCTAAAATTTATATAGAACCACAGACTGAGATAAACAGCAAAACATATTTTGTGAAAGAAGAGCAAAGGTGGGGGAATCACAATACATTTGTGTTATATACATCACTATATATTTCAAAATATGTTGTAAAGCCACGCTAATTAAAAAAAAAAAAAACGTTTTTATTTGGTAGCAGCCCTAATTGAGCTGGGACAAGGAACCAGACAACTAAGGACAACTGTGTACCCAAGGCCTGCCAAGTTTATTCAAATTAGCCAATACACAGGGAGCCCAGGAAACCTAGCTATACTGGCCCTATTTGTTGTACATAAACAAACATTCCCTGATAGCTCCAGTTTGCTGTTATGCTTCATGGAGTGCACCTCTGTGTAGCCATGGCATGTAGTCTTTTTCTGTGAGACTGTAAATAACAAAATATTCTGCCTTTCTTTAATTTAAAGTGTCCCTGTGTTGTAATCTTCCATCAAAATAATCTTTAAATCTTATAAACAAAAAGGAAGGCAATTTGATACATACCAACTGAGGACAATGAGCAACACCTGATAATTTATTGAACTAAAGATTTCCCCAGGAAATACTTTGCTTCATTTTTATAATGAAATATATTTCTCTAGATTTCTAAAAATAATTCTTTTATACTTTTATTATTCTGCTTCCCCTCCTCCACTGCCCCCCATGGACTGTGTACTTCAACTCTGTAAACCCAGTACCAACATAATTTATTAACTGATTGGACTGAAAAGTTTAGCTCTTCCAATTCTGATACAGTTAACCCTCTTTGTGTGACATTGACATCATTAACATTCTCAGTGGTTATTTTATACAAAATGAAATAAAATTCAGGAGACATCTAAAATACAAGATCTGGACAGTAATCAAAAGGTGTATAGAAGAACACTGACAAATGTCCACATATTGGGGTTGAAGAAAAAAAATTTTATAATGACAATTACAAATATAATACAAGTGAAGTCAAATATGTACAATGTGGATGAAAAGGGCATGACTTATAAGCATACTGGACCAATAAAAAAATAAATTTGTATTTAATATGCAATGGGTAAAGTGAGAAATCACTCTAAAGTTTACCTAACCCACAGCTTAAAGTGATAGTAGAGATGAGGTGGAAATTCCTGGTGACATAATATGCAGTCTTATACAATGCTACTTCAAAGGTAAAAGAGGACAAGAGATAATTAGATGTCTACATGGTATTGATTATTCAAAAGAAAAGAAAGTTTGGAATATGAAATGCAATGACTATCAAGTGTGTTAACCAAAAAATTCTACTCACACAAAGGGATCAAAAGACATTAAGACCTGGTAGCTGGAATGGCAATAACTGACGAGAAACTTTGTCATGAATTCTCAAATTAATTTCAGACAATAGCAGTTTGTGGGACATCTGTTTTGACATACACAAATTAAAACTTTGCTATGAAAATGGCATCCTGATATTCTGAAATTCTAGATAATTTATTGTTCAATGACATTCTTATCCACAGAGATTACAATCTCTCACAAATGGATTAATTATAATATTATTGCACATTTAAATTTAAACCTTGATTCTTCCCCTAATTCAGGGGATTTTTGTACCCTTTACAAGATTTCAAATATTTTAGTCCATAAAGTCATTCTGTACTTTCTGGTCATATGTACAATGGTCTGTTACAGAAATTAGTTCAATGTTTTTGTTTTTAAAAGATTATCTACTTGATCATCATTTTACTTACATCTGTGCAGTAACACAGAAGAAAGTGTACTGGCACTGCTCTACCATTAATGCCTATTTTTAAACATTTTTTTCTTCTTATTTTCCCAGGGGTGTTTTCTCTTAACTGTTTTACAAGTATTACTATTAGTCTAATCACTAATTCCACATCTCATTCCATAGCAAATGCTGCATGTTCTTTGCCTTCAAAAATAATTTTCATGTAAAATTATAAGTGAGCTATTGGTCTATCTTTTGAGGTTTTCTCCTGCCTTTAGAGCACAATTTTTAGATTGTAAATTGATTGCAGTCACCAAGTTTGAAAAATTGGCATTTCTTAAAGTAGACATTTCTGATTTTTAATTTTACACAAGAGGTGACTTCCAAATGGAACTGTATTGTTTATATGCAATTCATCTGCATTAGAAATGCAGTAACCTTCCCTCTTAAAAAAAAAAAAAAAGAACCCAGATGAACAACAATAACAAAAATATAGCAACAGGCAACTTCATTTTGAAAGTAAAATAATACATTCATTGATGCATCAGTGATTATTTTTGAGGCAGTAGCCTCTGAGGACTTGCCAGAATAGGCTTCTATAAGAATTTTACTTTCACAGGATGGAGAACATAGGCCTAAAATCAACAGACACAGCAACATCAGCTAACTGCAGAGGTCTCTTTTCTTCCCATCCCTTCTCTGAGCATAGTGAAGCCTCAAGAGCTTTAGAGTGATTTATCGCTTTCTTCATTGCATATTAAATGCCAATTTATCTTTTTATCGGTCCAGTACACATAGAAGTCATGCTCTTTTCATCCACATTGTCCATATTTGACTTTGTTTGTATTACATTTGTAATAGTCATTTTAAAATTCATTTTCCTTGGACATTTGTCAGTGTTCTTCTATATGCCTTTTAATTACTGTCTACATCTTGCATTTTCGATGTCTCCTGAATTTTATTTCATTTTGTGTAAAATTACCATTGAGAATGTCAATGATGTCAATGTCACAGAAAGAGGGTTAACTGTATCAGAATTGGAAGAGCTAAACTTTTCAGTTCAATCACTTAATAAACTGTTGATAACTGGGTTTACAAGGTTGAAGCAAACATTCCACAGGGGGAAAAATAGAATAATAAAAATATAAAATAATTATTTTTAGAAATCTAGAGAAATGTATTTCATTATAAAAATGAAGTAAAAAAATTGTCTGGGGAAATCTAGTTTAGCAGAATGGACCCCACTCAACACAGAAAACTTAAACACAGCAATTTTAATAGAAATTTTTTTAAAAGTTATCAATCAATTATCCCCTCCAAGAGGATCTATATAATCCTTGAATGTAGAAAAACTTTTTCTAACTATAAAACAAAATTTAGAGGCAACCAAAATAAATACTTATAAACTAGACAATAAGAAAGTTGTAAATAGAACAAAAATAAGCAAATTGAAAGATATTTAATAAGCTGGGGAGATAATATTTGCTACATGTTTCACAAATAAATGAATAGTACATGCAGTTTTTTAAACTCTCTTGAAATTTTAAGGAAAATATAGAGAAAAAGAGTATAAAAGACAAGAAGTGCAAATTCACCCCCCAAAAAGGAGTAGTTAGAAGGTCTGTGTGTGTACTTGTGTATGTGTGAGTGCCTGTGTGTACAGAAATATTTAAAAACTTAATCATTGCCACAACATGGACG